CATGTAAAGGGTTTGGGAATAATGATGTCCGACGACCTAACGTTTAGGGAGCATAACTAAACAAATATTGCGTCAGCCAGAAAAATGATCGGATGGATTACGAGAACTTTCAAATCCAGGGATCCCATCACAATGGTTGTACTATACAAATCACTTGTGTTGTCCCGTCTTGAGTACTGCTCAGCGCTCACTTCCCCTTTCAGAGCAGGAGAGATTGCTGAAATGGAGGGATTACAGAGAACATATACGGCATACATAGACGCAATAAAGCACCTAAATTGTTGGGATCGTCGCAAAGCTCTCCAAATGTACTCACTAGAAAGGAGACGAGAGAGATATCAAATAATATACACGTGGAAAATACTGGAGGGCCAGGTCCCAAATCTACACAGTAAAATAACAACATACTGGAGTGAACGATATGGAAGAAAATGTAGAACAGAAGAAAGCAGGGGTGCCATAGGCACAATTAGAGAACACTGTATAAACATCAGAGGTCCGCGGTTGTTCAACGTCCTCCCAGCGAGCATAAGAAATATTGCCGGAACAACCGTGGACATCTTCAAGAGGAAACTAGATAGTTTTCTTCAAGGAGTGCCGGACCAACCGGGCTGTGGTGGATATGTAGGCCAGCAGGCCGCTCCAAGCAACAGCCTGGTGGACCAAGCTCTCAGAAGTCAAGGCTGGCCTCGGGCCGGGGAGTAGAAGGACTCCCAGAACCCCATCAAGCAGGTAAGGGGTCACCACCCTCGGGCTTGGGACTGGGGAGTCACCATCCTGAAGCTGCTATCCGGGGACTTCACTTACGGGCTACTAAATGCTCGTGCCACCTCTTAGTGGCTTCATCTTCATCAATCAATCAATCTGGGACTACAGACCTCCTCGTGGATCATAAGGCCATGTGGTGTCCGCCACACATGACCAACCATGAAGAAATAAGAAGCCTGCCACCACCTCGCCTCATGGTAATTGAATAACCCGGGTTTCTGAATAATTTGGGATTTAACTTCCAAAAAGATCACAACCACCTAATAAAATGGGAGGGAGGGGAGGAAGGTAGGTCGGGATGGAGAGAGGGTAGTAAGGAAGGAGAGTTTAGGTAGACTGGGAGAGAGGGTGAGTGGAAGAGATGGGTGAAGGGAGAATAATATATAAGGGAGAAAGGTCAGTCAGTAATGAATGGCTTACAGCCCCCGTGGGACCGCCAAATCAACGCAGGATATTGTATATCTAGCCGTCAGCCTCCCGCGGGGACGATGCTGCCTCTCCTCTCAACCCCTCTTGCGCGCTTCGGGAGATTCTGAAAAAGTCCCGAGGGTCCTAGAGTCGTCTTCGGGTCCAAAGGTCGCCCTGAGGGATCCTAGAACACCCCCCAGGGAGTCTTACAATCGCCCCTGTGGGGGGGGGGGGAAAGGTGAGGACGTAATATCACGCCGGTAAACATCCGTTTCCTGGTTTGAAAAAGACGTAATGGTCACATTTATCGGTAACCTTTGCGAAATTTGTGTATCAGCGTTTTGCTTGTGTTCCATGGTGTTTAAGCTCATGTCATAGTGGTCTAGCAATTGTGAGAGGCAGGAGCTGTACTGAACCCCATGTTGTCCAGGGTTTTACATACCTGGAGCATACCTGGAGAAGGTTTCGAGAGTTCTTCTACACCCCCGAGCCGACCTGAGGCCAAGCCCGACGAAACGGTTATGAAGTCACTGTGATTCCCTGTGTCATATGATCTTACTCCACAGTTTTATGTATGTTGGGGAGAGCACCAGTATCAATAGGCTCCGTCTCCAAAAGATGTTTGTTAGTAAGAGTTGCTTTCTTATTGTTTATGCCTCCAAAGTATATGAAAAAGCTATTATTCCTCTCAGTTACAACATAATACTACCCAGGGGGCAAAAATTGCTACACCTCAAAAGTGTTATAAAGCAAAGTTGCTTGGTTAGTAAATAATCGTTTCCTACATTATATATATATATATATATATATATATATATATATATATATATATATATATATATATATATATATATATATATATATATATATATATATATATATATATATATATATATATATATATATATATATATATATATATATATATATATATATATATATATATATATATATATATATATATATATATATATATATATATATATATATATATATATTCGTCAAATGGCAGGTTATTCAAATTGGTAAGTAAAAAAAATCCATCAGAGCGTGAGGGGGGGGGGGGGAAAGAACAGTATTTCCTTCAATAGTGTTGACGATGAGTTGTTAAAACTCACTGTTGTTATGAGTTGTGTCGGTGGGAGCAACATGAGAGGAATTACCTGGGACGAGTGGGAAAAGCTTTATAAGCATAGCTTAAACAAATTTTTGTAGTTAACATCAAATATAATCACCTTAGATTTTCAAAATGCCTTAGGCTTCATTTTTCGTGCACAACATTGGACGGTCCGGAGGCGTCCGGTAAGTCTGCATGTATAGTACGGCATTTGCCGGTGTAAACGACCCAACTATCTTACAAGGATATTCTGCGGAAGACACATTTTGAGTATGTTTCATCATACATTTATTGAGAGTGAATCTCTTAGAACTTTTGTAAGGAAAAACACGTGATTTTGTGCCTGTGAACTGAAAATTGGTTAATATACATAATATATACGGCACTCATAAAAGCCTACCGAGGCTCCCGCGTATACACTTGTATACGCTATACGTATACACTTGTATGTATATACAGCCCATCCTCCTAGAGTGAAAGTACTCATAGTAACTATGTGATCTCTGAAGTACTGAATTTGGACAAACCGGAAAAGTTTTTAATAATTTTTGTTGGTAATAAAACCTAACCAACCTAACTATCCTAGGCCTAATGCACACCATCTGAGGCCTAATATAGTACATATATGTGCTATTACTAGGCCTAGGAATAATTAAGGTTAGCATTATTTTCCGGAGACTAAAATAGGTACAAAAAGTGGCTTACTGGCGCTCTATGGCCACATATTGGAACGATCGGTCACATGTTATAAAAAATTACAATTATAAAAAGTACAATAATTTCAGGAGGGCGAGTGTGTCGACGCGCGTAGGAACATATTCTATTTATTGTAACGTATTTTCTCCCACTGAAACTGAACCTAAGAAACAAAGCAATCGCGTATGAACAGTTTAGAAAACCAACCAATCCTATGTTGCCACAGCAATCCACCAATCAGGATTTCTAATCAGTAAATCAATATCCACAAAGTCATTGAAAACAGATTTAAACTCAAAGGGATCACTGACTTTACACACGCTAATAGTTTGGATAGTCTCCTAATTGGCGACAATTAGGTGTTTGGCTCGTTAATTCCGAAGGAAGTGGAACAGCACTTGTACCAAGGAAACCCATCCGGGTAGTGAGTGGTTCCTGGAACTTGGGGAGCTTCAACAATTAAGGGGAATACATCAAGCATTTTCATATCCCCCCCCCACTTACGAAACCTGTATTCCCCCCTTACGAAACCTGTATTTCCCCCTTACGAAACCTGTATTCCCCCTTACGAAACCTGTATTCCCCCCTTACGAAACCTGTATATCCCCCTTACGAAACCTGTACATTTCTCCTCAAACATGGCGGCTGAATTTTGCGAGCTTGGAAACTGTGCATGGTCGTTCTCGTCCCAAGGTTATTATTATTCTAGACAACCGATAGCACTTGGTCGTCGACCAGGAGGTCTGGTCGAGGACCGGGCCGCGGGGACGCTAAGCCCCGGAAGCACCTCAAGGTTAGGTAACCTTGTAAAGCACTTCGGAACTAATAAACGCCACACAATTTAAATTCAGAAGCTGTTATTGTTGACAAGTATGACATACCTTTTTTTTTTTTGCAGGGATATTCCTGCGCGGGCCCTAAGCCTCTGGCTGACCCACTAAGTGTTGCTTGTTTCTGTTTTACTTGGGCGGAGTATGAGTATTTATGACTCGTATGGTCGCTTCAGTAAGATTTTGTCATATGTGTTTAGCAACTTCTTCTGCTCTGTTGAATCTAAGTTGAAATCTTAATGGATTTGTAACTGTGCACTGTGTTAGATAATGTTCCAGTAGTCTGTTGTGGTTGTAACTGTGCACTGTGTTAGATGGTGTTCCAGTGGCCTGTCGGGTTTTTCTCCAGTGCTGACATTTTTATGACATACCGTTTATGATAACACGTTACTTCAGACTCAGGCATCACACTCAGCCTCCAGGCGGCACACCGCAAACTCTTAGCTTCAAGGATCTTACTAGCTAAGCCAGCAACACTTAGATCCTCGCTCCTATGCCGGGTACGTTCACTACGGGCTCACCTTAGCCCGTGCTACGTTGGAACTTTTTGTTCCCAGTAGTTGAATATTAAACAAGAACGTCAACAACATCACTGGCTAAGATCATTCCCAGTAGTTGGGCTCGTGATGTGTCCGCCCTGTCGTTCCAAGCTACGCCCTCGAGGCGTCTACTGTCTTGAACAAATCCTCAAGGGCCGTGACGAGGATTCGAACCTACGTCCGAGAACTTACGTCATTTGATGCCTCACGCTATTGTGAATTCTACTGTCTTCATCGTGAGGGACCACCTCACACTACTCACCTTCCCTTTGTTATTGTTGTTATAGATTCAGCTACTGGGAACAAAAAGTCGCAAGTAGCACGGGCTATGGTGAGCCCGTAATGGACTTACCTGGCACAGGAGCGGGGCTGTAACTGTCTCCTTCCCGCTCACAACCCACAATTTATACAGTCTGTTTGTTGTTGTTATAGATTCATCGACTCGGAACAAGTTGCAAGTAGCACGGACTATGGTGAGCCCGTAGTGGACTTACCTGGCACAGGAGCGGTGCTGTGTGTCTACAGTCTGTTTGTTGTTGTTGTTTTAGATTTAGCTACTCAGAACGAAGTGTCCATGTAGCACGGGCTATGGTGAGCCCGTAAATACAGCCTGTATTAATGCGTGATTTTGTATCTTTGCAGGTGAGGCGGTTATTGTGAGGCGGCCCAGACACACCACCCAGGTGCGTGTCTCAGGAGGTGAGTGTTGCAGCACCTGGTCCTTGTGTGTTACGGCAACACTGCTTGCCTCCCCACCCCCCCTCCTCAACTTTTAGGGTGAGCAGCACATGATAGTGAAGGTGTTAGGGTGAGCAATACATGATAGTGAAGGTGTTAGGGTGAGCAGCGCCTGATAGTGAAGGTGTTAGGGTGAGCAATACATGATAGTGAAGGTGTTAGGGTGAGCAGCACCTGATAGTGAAGGTGTTAGGGTGAGCAGCACCTGATAGTGAAGGTGTTAGGGTGAGCAGCACCTGATAGTGAAGGTGTTAGGGTGAGCAGCACCTAATATCAAGGGTTGATATGTCGAACCGAGATTGCTAACCTAACTTAAAGAATGGTTGAATAATTGTGTATGGTGAGCAGTTGCCCCCCCCCTCCCCCTATTGTTACGGACACAACTCAGTTATTTAACAATCAGTCAGTCAGTCAGTCAGTCAGACAGTCAGTCAGTCAGTCAGTCAGTCAGTCAGTCAGTCAGGCAGGCAGGCAGGCAGGCAGGCAGGCAGTCAGTCAGTCAGTCAGTCAGGCAGGCAGGCAGTCAGTCAGTCAGTCAGTCAGTCAGTCAGTCAGTCAGTCAGTCAGTCAGTCAGTCAGTCAGTCCCAGTCTGTAGGGACATGCCAATTTTGTTAAGCATTTGTATATTTCAACTTGTTATGGGCCGGATGGTCACTATTTGATCCCTTGGAGTTTATTATTCATACTGGTACATCCATGTATCAGCGACGACATACACCAATGTATATCTGGAGTGGGTTCTGGGTATACACATAATTGCTTATTATCGGTGTATAAGTACAACACTATACACCGCTGTTCAGCCGATATCAATAAAGTTTTATATTGGGCAAAAGAATATTAGTTGATGTGTGGCAGTGCGGATACTTGATAATAATTAGATAATAATCCTTGATAATAAAAATAATGATAATTCCAGATACTTATTGTGTTAAAATGTGGAACGTTCACGGGCACCTGCAGGGTTCAAGACAGAGTTCAAGACGGTTCAAGACAGAGTTCAAGACGGTTCAAGACAGTTCAAGACAGAGTTCAAGACGGTTCAAGACGGTTCAAGACAGAGTTCAAGACGGTTCAAGACAGAGTTCAAGACAGTTCAAGACAGAGTTCAAGACGGTTCAGGACAGAGTTGAAAACAGTTCAAGACGGTTCAAGACAGAGTTCAAGACAGTTCAAGACGGTTCAAGACAGTTCAAGACAGACTTCAAGACAGTTCAAGACGGTTCAAGACAGTTCAAGACGGTTCAAGACAGGGGTTCAACACAACCCACATCTCCTCGTAGGAGGAAAAACGACATGTAAAGGATCTGGGAATAATGATATCGGACGACCGAATGTTTAGAGAGCCTAACAAATCAAACATAGCGACAGGCAAGAAAATGATCGGGTGGAGTAGGAGAACCTTGACATCCAGGGATTCCACCACAACGCTCCTACTGTTCAAAACACCGGGGGCTGTCCCACCTTGAGTGCTGCTCGATGCTCACTTCCTCTTTCAGAGCAGGAGAGACTGCTGAAATAACAGAGAGCGCAGAGCACATATACGGTATACATAGTCAACATAATCCACAGTCGACTTTATAATGGTCCAGGACGGACCGAAAAGTCGTCGTCTCAAGTCCTTGCAGGATATGGCAGACCTTGTAGGCCTGGGCGGCCGCTCCAAGCAACAACAGCCTGTTAGATCAAGTCCAGGCGCCTCGGGACAGTCTTGGGGGAGTAGACCAACTCACACAGCCCACTCCAGGTATACATCAACATTAATGTTACACAAACGACATTCTAGTGTACCGACACTCACTAGTGTGTTTACTAGTGTGTGTGTGTGTGTGTGTGTGTGTGTGTGTGTGTGTGTGTGATCTGAGTTACAGCTGTATTTTGGAGGTTACGGAGCAGCGGGCAGCTCCTTACCGGAGGCTCTTGAGGATAATAACCACCTTAAAACCTAACGAGGTCATTATACCCAATCTGGGAAGAAATGTTGCTGTCACTTGCAAAACCACGCAATGTTTAGGTCATTGTTGACGGCCCGGAATGTTTAGGTCACTAACATTGCCATATATAAAGTTTAGGTTCCTCTTGGAGCCATTAAATGATATTTGTAACTGGTGTCGCAGTAACTTCTTGCAGAACTCTTAAGAGATCTGCAACTCTTAAAATATGTATTCCTTTATCTCGCCCCTCATCTACCCCCTCACCCAGAACCTCACCCCCTCATCTACCCCCCCTCACCCCCTCATCTTCCCTGTGGCTACATTTCAAGACAGCTGGGCCGGAGGGTCCCGTCTATTTGGTCACTTGGGTTTTATGTCTCAGTATTTCCATAATGATTTTGCGTCCGAGGGCTGCTGTTAGGAGGTCGTCTGGCAGTGGGGAAGTTTGGAGGTCGTCTGGCAGTGGGGAGGTTTGGAGGTCGTCTGGCAGTGGGGAAGTTTGGAGGTCGTCTGGCAGTGGGGAGGTTTGGAGGTCGTCTGAGGCAGTGGGGCGGTTTGGAGGTCGTCTGAGGCAGTGGGGAAATTTGGAGGTCGTCTGGCAGTGGGGAGGTTTGGAGGTCGTCTGAGGCAGTGGGGAAGTTTGGAGGTCGTCTGGCAGTGGGGAGGTTTGGAGGTCGTCTGGCAGTGTAGAGGTTTGGAGGTCGTCTGGCAGTGGGGAAGTTTGGAGGTCGTCTGGCAGTGGGGAAGTTTGGAGGTCGTCTGGCAGTGGGGAGGTTTGGAGGTCGTCTGGCAGTGGGGAAGTTTGGAGGTCGTCTGGCAGTGGGGAGGTTTGGAGGTCGTCTGGCAGTGGGGAGGTTTGGAGGTCGTCTGGCAGTGGGGCGGTTTGGAGGTCGTCTGGCAGTGGGGAAGTTTGGAGGTCGTCTGGCAGTGGGGAGGTTTGGAGGTCGTCTGGCAGTGGGGAAGTTTGGAGGTCGTCTGGCAGTGGGGAGGTTTGGAGGTCGTCTGGTAGTGGGGAAGTTTGGAGGTCGTCTGGCAGTGGGGAAGTTTGGAGGTCGTCTGGCAGTGGAGAGGTTTGGAGGTCGTCTGGCAGTGGGGAAGTTTGGAGGTCGTCTGGCAGTGGGGAAGTTTGGAGGTCGTCTGGCAGTGGAGAGGTTTGGAGGTCGTCTGGCAGTGGGGAAGTTTGGAGGTCGTCTGGCAGTGGGGAAGTTTGGAGGTCGTCTGGCAGTGGGGAGGTTTGGAGGTCGTCTGGCAGTGGGGAGGTTTGGAGGTCGTCTGGCAGTGGAGAGGTTTGGAGGTCGTCTGGCAGTGGGGAGGTTTGGAGGTCGTCTGGCAGTGGGGAAGTTTGGAGGTCGTCTGGCAGTGGGGAGGTTTGGAGGTCGTCTGGCAGTGGGGAGGTTTGGAGGTCGTCTGGCAGTGGGGAGGTTTGGAGGTCGTCTGGCAGTGGGGAAGTTTGGAGGTCGTCTGGCAGTGGAGAGGTTTGGAGGTCGTCTGGCAGTGGGGAAGTTTGGAGGTCGTCTGGCAGTGGAGAGGTTTGGAGGTCGTCTGGCAGTGGAGAAGTTTGGAGGTCGTCTGGCAGTGGACAGGTTTGGAGGTCGTCTGGCAGTGGAGAGATTTGGAGGTCGTCTGGCAGTGGAGAGGATTGGAGGTCGTCTGGCAGTGGAGAGGTTTGGAGGTCGTCTGGCAGTGGAGAGGTTTGGAGGTCGTCTGGCAGTGGAGAGGTTTGGAGGTCGTCTGGCAGTGGGGAAGTTTGGAGGTCGTCTGGCAGTGGGGAAGTTTGGAGGTCGTCTGGCAGTGTAGAGGTTTGGAGGTCGTCTGAGGCAGTGGACAGGTTTGGAGGTCGTCTGAGGTAGTGTACAGGTTTGGAGGTCGTCTGAGGCAGTGGGGCGGTTTGGAGGTCGTCTGGCAGTGGGGAGGTTTGGAGGTCGTCTGGCAGTGTAGAGGTTTGGAGGTCGTCTGGCAGTGGAGAGGTTTGGAGGTCGTCTGGCAGTGGGGAGGTTTGGAGGTCGTCTGGTAGTGGGGAAGTTTGGAGGTCGTCTGGCAGTGGAGAGGTTTGGAGGTCGTCTGGCAGTGGGGAGTTTTGGAGGTCGTCTGGCAGTGGAGAGGTTTGGAGGTCGTCTGGCAGTGGAGAGGTTTGGAGGTCGTCTGGCAGTGGAGAGGTTTGGAGGTCGTCTGGCAGTGGAGAGGTTTGGAGGTCGTCTGGCAGTGGAGAGGTTTGGAGGTCGTCTGGCAGTGGAGAAGTTTGGAGGTCGTCTGGCAGTGGAGAGGTTTGGAGGTCGTCTGGCAGTGGAGAGGTTTGGAGGTCGTCTGGCAGTGGAGAGGTTTGGAGGTCGTCTGGCAGTGGAGAGGTTTGGAGGTCGTCTGGCAGTGGAGAGGTTTGGAGGTCGTCTGGCAGTGGAGAGGTTTGGAGGTCGTCTGGCAGTGGAGAGGTTTGGAGGTCGTCTGGCAGTGGAGAAGTTTGGAGGTCGTCTGGCAGTGGAGAGGTTTGGAGGTCGTCTGGCAGTGGAGGTCGTCTGGCAGGTTTGGAGGTCGTCTGGCAGTGGAGAGGTTTGGAGGTCGTCTGGCAGTGGAGAAGTTTGGAGGTCGTCTGGCAGTGGAGAGGTTTGGAGGTCGTCTGGCAGTGGGGAGGTTTGGAGGTCGTCTGGCAGTGGAGAAGTTTGGAGGTCGTCTGGCAGTGGAGACGTTTGGAGGTCGTCTGGCAGTGGGGAAGTTTGGAGGTCGTCTGGCAGTGGAGACGTTTGGAGGTCGTCTGGCAGTGGAGAGGTTTGGAGGTCGTCTGGTAGTGGGGAAGTTTGGAGGTCGTCTGGCAGTAAGAAAATTAAGTCTTGATGAAGTTATTATTATATAGTTAATTATAAATGCAAAATTCTAGCAATAACAGTCAACTCACGATGTGTTGTCATGGAGGCTTCACACCCGAGTGGCTCACTTTCTCTTGCACCTTCTAGTCATTCACAACTTTGGGTTTCCATTTTCATTCTTCAGATTATGTTTCCCTTCCGACAAGAAAGAATGCAAAGAGTAACAGTCAATCAAATAAGATCAAGCGCAAGTTCAGTGAAATACTCTATACCCTCGAGGCACAGTTCTTGCCCCACTGTTGGTTCTTATTCTTATCTCGGATATAGTAAAGAAAATGCCAGTCACAACTTCGTGTCATTCTTTCCAGGGCCTCGCTGATGTCGAGTCTGATGTGTAGGGCCTCGCTGATGTCGAGTCTGATGTGTAGGGCCTCGCTGATGTCGAGTCTGATGTGTAGGGCCTCGCTGATGTCGAGTCTGATGTGTAGGGCCTCGCTGATGTCGAGTCTGATGTGTAGGGCCTCGCTGATGTCGAGTCTGATGTGTAGGGCCTCGCTGATGTCGAGTCTGATGTGTAGGGCCTCGCTGATGTCGAGTCTGATGTGTAGGGCCTCGCTGATGTCGAGTCTGATGTGTAGGGCCTCGCTGATGTCGAGTCTGATGTCTGATGTGTAGGGGCCTCGCTGATGTCGAGTCCTCGCTGATGTCGAGTCTGATGTGTAGGGCCTCGCTGATGATAGACTCGACATCAGCGAGGCCGACAGTGAAGAAACGTGTCATTCTTTCCAGATGGTACAAAAATCAGCATGAAAATTTCCTCTGTAGAAGACACTGAAAAACGACAAGCCGATATTAATAAAGTCTTCGTTTGGGCAACGGCGATGTTTAACGGTGATAAGGTCCAGGAACTGAAGTATACTGGAAACGAGGAACTTAAACTAAACACAGGGTACAGGACACTATCAGACCTACTCATAGAAGGAAAGCAACATGTAAAAAATCTGTTAATTATGATGTCTGACGACCTGACATTTAGTGAACATAACCGGGTAAATATAGCGGCGGCCAGGAAAATGATAGGATGGATTATGAGAACGTTCAAATCCAATGACCCCACAGCAATGCTAATCATGTTTAAATCACTGGTACTGTCCTGTCTTGAGTATTGTTCGGTACTCACTTCCCTTTCAGAGCGGGAGATCTGTGAATTAAGAGTACAGAGTACATATACGGCACGCACAGAAACTATAAAACATTTAAATTATCGGGACAGTCTCAAAGCTCTCAAAATGTACTCTCTGGAAAGGAGACGAGAAAGATATCAAATAATATATATGGAAGATACTGGAGAGCCAGGTCACAAATTTGCACTCTAGAATAACAACAAACTGGACCGAAAGATACGGAAGAAAATGCAGAATAGAACCAGTGAGGATTTACAGGTGCCATAGGCACAATCAGTGAGCATAATCAGTCTGAACATCAGAGGTCACAGCTGTTCAATACCTTCCCAGCAAACATTACAAATATTGCCGGAACAAAGGTGTATGTTTTCAAGAAGGATTTAGATAAGTTCTTGCAAGAAGTGCCGGACCAACCAAGGTAGTGGATATGTAGGCCTGCGGGCCGCTCCAAGCAACAGCCTGTTGAACCAAGTTATCACAAGTCGAGCCTGCGGGCTCTGGGAGTAGATAAACTCTTGGAACCCTCTCCAGGTATACTCCAGGTTCTTTGCTGGCTGTGTTGCACAGACCCCTCCCCCCCCCTCTGCCTGCTGTGGGGCAGCCCCTATACCCCAACCCGTTCTCGCACTTTATCTTAACTTTGCTTATCTTAACATACTAAGAAGGTTAGGTAAGGTCGGTGTTTTCTATGAAGCTTTTCAAGGTAAACTAGTATGTTTAGTATGTCACATATGCACGTACAAGTCATATGACTTTCTTACAGTCAATATTGACTGTAAGAAAGTGCGAGAACGGGTTGTATACCCACACCAGAGTGTACCCGGGTAATATGTTAAAAACTTGATTTGGCACCAGTTCGATACCTCCAAACCTCCTATTGGATTCAGTAGTATTCCAGGTTAGATTACTTGTGTATCGTGGTCCAGTGGGTTATGGCTCGCGGCTGGGGAGACCAAGAACAGTGGTTCGAATCCCAGGAGTGCTCCAATGATTTTCGCATAACGACATATTAGATACACAAAGGAAGTTGATAAGGTTGATAAAAAGATTGCTTTTAGTTTGAAGACATGGTTGATCAAGAGGACTGTTGGAGGCTTGAGGCCCAGACGAGTCACGGATGTTTGAAAGAATTTTAAGTTTCAAAAACCGTAAGTTCTTAAGAACGTAAGGTCTAAGAACGTAAGGTCTAAGAACGTAAGGTCTAAGAACGTAAGGTCTAAGAACAGTAAGGTACAAAGAACGCAAATTCTAAATTGCGTTCGTTTTAAGATCGTAAGATCTTAAAGCAGTCAGTTTTAAATAATGTAACGTTTAAAACAAAGTTGTAAAGAAGTTATGGAGAAGGTAAGTTGTGAAGAAGGAAAGTTGTGAAGAAGGAAAGTTGTGAAGAAGGAAAGTTGTGAAGAAGGAAAGTTGTGAAGAAGGAAAGTTGTGAAGAAGGAAAGTTGTGAAGAAGGTAAGTTGTGAAGAAGGAAAGTTGTGAAGAAGGTAAGTTGTGAAGAAGGAAAGTTGTGAAGAAGGAAAGTTGTGAAGAAGGAAAGTTGTGAAGAAGGAAAGTTGTGAAGAAGGTAAGTTGTGAAGAAGGTAAGTTGTGAAGAAGGAAAGTTGTGAAGAAGGAAAGTTGTGAAGAAGGAAAGTTGTGAAGAAGGAAAGTTGTGAAGAAGGAAAGTTGTGAAGAAGGAAAGTTGTGAAGAAGGTGAAGTTGTGAAGAAGGAAAGTTGTGAAGAAGGAAAGTTGTGAAGAAGGAAAGTTGTGAAGAAGGAAAGTTGTGAAGAAGGAAAGTTGTGAAGAAGGAAAGTTGTGAAGAAGGAAAGTTGTGAAGAAGGAAAGTTGTGAAGAAGGAAAGTTGTGAAGAAGGAAAGTTGTGAAGAAGGAAAGTTGTGAAGAAGGAAAGTTGTGAAGAAGGTAAGTTGTGAAGAAGGAAAGTTGTGAAGAAGGTAAGTTGTGAAGAAGGAAAGTTGTGAAGAAGGAAAGTTGTGAAGAAGGAAAGTTGTGAAGAAGGAAAGTTGTGAAGAAGGAAAGTTGTGAAGAAGGAAAGTTGTGAAGAAGGAAAGTTGTGAAGAAGGAAAGTTGTGAAGAAGGAAAGTTGTGAAGAAGGAAAGTTGTTGTGAAGAAGGTAAGTTGTGAAGAAGGAAAGTTGTGAAGAAGGAAAGTTGTGAAGAAGGAAAGTTGTGAAGAAGGAAAGTTGTGAAGAAGGTAAGTTGTGAAGAAGGAAAGTTGTGAAGAAGGAAAGTTGTGAAGAAGGAAAGTTGTGAAGAAGGAAAGTTGTGAAGAAGGTAAGTTGTGAAGAAGGTAAGTTGTGAAGAAGGTAAGTTGTGAAGAAGGAAAGTTGTGAAGAAGGAAAGTTGTGACGAAGGAAAGTTGTGAAGAAGGAAAGTTGTGAAGAAGGAAAGTTGTGAAGAAGGAAAGTTGTGAAGAAGGAAAGTTGTGAAGAAGGAAAGTTGTGAAGAAGGAAAGTTGTGACGAAGGAAAGTTGTGAAGAAGGAAAGTTGTGAAGAAGGAAAGTTGTGAAGAAGGAAAGTTGTGACGAAGGAAAGTTGTGAAGAAGGAAAGTTGTGAAGAAGGAAAGTTGTGACGAAGGAAAGTTGTGAAGAAGGAAAGTTGTGAAGAAGGAAAGTTGTGAAGAAGGAAAGTTGTGAAGAAGGAAAGTTGTGAAGAAGGTAAGTTGTGAAGAAGGTAAGTTGTGAAGAAGGTAAGTTGTGAAGAAGGTAAGTTGTGAAGAAGGAAAGTTGTGAAGAAGGAAAGTTGTGAAGAAGGAAAGGTGAGTGAGGACGGGGAGTGAACTAGAGGGAGAGACAGTAGGAGCTCATACAGGAAATAGTTTCAGAAGTAGACAGGACAAGAGAGAGAGAAGGATCAGGAGTCACAGCGTTAGACGACCGACAGCTGGGAAGACGGGGACTCAGGAGCTAGGGCTCAACCCTGCAAGCACAATTATAACTGAGAACAAATACACACTAGATTTTTATCTCGGGTGTTTTAATTATGTTAATCCTAATTACAGGAGGGTTTATCGTCTGGTTTATGTTAGTTTGGCCCACATAGCCTCTCGTCCACATAGCCTCTCGTCCACATAGTCTCGGCCACATAGTCTCGGCCACATAGCTTCTCGTCCACATAGTCTGGGCCACAGAGCCTCTCGTTCACATAGCCTCTCGTCCACATAGCCTCTCGTCCACATAGTCTCGGCCACATAGCTTCTCGTCCACATAGTCTCGGCCACATAGCTTCTCGTCCACATAGCCTCTCGTCCACAAACTTCTCGTCCACATAGCTTCTCGTCCACATAGCCTCTCGTCCACATAGCTTCTCGTCCACATAGCTTCTCGTCCACATAGCCTCTCGTCCACATAGCTTCTCGTCTACATAGCTTCTCGGCCACATAGCCTCGTCCACATAGCCTCTCGTCCACATAGCCTCTCGTTCACATAGCCTCTCGTCCACATAGCCTCTCGTCCACAAACTTCTCGTCCACATAGCTTCTCGTCCACATAGCCTCTCGTCCACATAGCTTCTCGTCCACATAGCTTCTCGTCCACATAGCCTCTCGTCCACATAGCTTCTCGTCTACATAGCTTCTCGGCCACATAGCCTCGTCCACATAGTCTCTCGGCCACATAGCCTCGTCCACATAGCCTCTCGTCCACATAGCCTCTCGTTCACATAGCCTCTCGTCCACATAGCCTCTCGTCCACATAGCCTTTCGTTCACATGGCCTCTCGTCCACATAGCCTCTCGTCCACATAGTCTCTCGTCCACATAGCCTCTCGTTCACATAGCCTCTCGTCCACATAGCCTCTCGTTCACATAGCCTCTCGTCCACATAGCCTGGCCCACATAGCAGTACGCCGGCATTACTAATTCTCATTTATTAATTCTCATAATGGAGGCTTTTATGAGGAGAAATGCATGAAGGAGCTGCCTAATGTTTTGTAAACAAAATAACATTGGCCTAATAGGAAAGAAATTGGCCGAAGTGTCTTTTAAGAACTCGAGCTGGCAAATATACTGGAACAAATTACACGTCCAAACCACCTCTTGCATTAGTCATGAGGGGAAAAACTATTTCCTGCAGACATAAATTATTGAGTGCTTACAACACATGAGCGAGTGTCGCAAACACACCAACACCCGCTTTGTATGCTAATGGCGTCGAAACGTTTGCAACCTTATTAACCTGAACGTACTTTTTCCATGCACCTCGCCACTTAAGTATCACGTGGCCACTTAAGTATCACGTGCGCGCACTTCGCAGCGAAGAGTAACGAGAATCTTGATTTTCTAACCTTAGTCACACTTGAAACACTGACGTTGGTGTTGTCAGTAAACTGGCGCGGAACACCGGTGCTCTTTACTCCACGCTAAAATGATCCGATTTTTCACAATGATAGAAGAGTTTGAGAAGAGTTTGCTTACCTTGAGATTTCCTTTACGCCTAACGTTACTAAAATCGTCAGCTCGGTGAATGTTGTTGTTCCTTGACCACAACACACTTACCGTGTTTGTCGAGGGGGATGGGACCTACCTTGAGGTTACCTTAAGGTGATTCCAGGGCTTAGCGACCCCGCGGCCCGGTCGTCGACCAGGCCTCCTCGTTGCTGGACTGGTCAACAGCAGTCCAGTCCAGTCCAAACATTGAGGGACGCTCATTGTCGTTCCAGCAAATGAATATATGGTATATATACAGCTACAAAAGCATTTCTTTCCCAACAACACCGTGCAGTCCCTGTGGCGCAGTGGTAAAACACCCATCCGGCACTTTGCGAGCGCTTTGGCCTAGGTTCGTATTCTGGCCGGGGAGAGTTGACTGGGTGCTAATCCATAACTGTAGCCTCTGTTCACCCAGCAGTGACTGGGTACCTGGTTGTTAAACGATTTGGTGGGTCGTATTCCGGGGAAAATTAGGATTAAGGACCTGCCCGAAACGCTATGCGTGATAGCGGATGTACAAGAACGTAAGAATTGTATATATAAATAAAAAAAATATGTGAAAGTCACATTCAATAAATGTATGATGAAACATACTAACATAATATTTCCCACAAAGTATTCTTGTAAACTAGCGGATGTTTTAGGCCAATATCTACGATATGTCCTGCGCCCGCACACCTAACTTGAATATTAAGTAAATAACTTTGATTCAGTTGTAAAATAAATATATATCAGAGGGACGGAGTCGGAAAGGTCGACAGTGCGCGATAACATCTTTGGAGTCGGACGGGGTTCGAACCAGCGTCCTGAATCCCTTGTCGAGCCTGGCCTCAGGCCGGGCTTGGGGGAGTAGAAGAACTCTGGAAACCCTCTCCAGGTATGGAGAGCCGGCGGCTGAGCGGACAGAATACTGGGCGCGTGATCCTGTGGTCCCGGGTTCGATCCCGGGCGCCGGCGAGAAACAATGGGGAGAGTTTCTTTCACCTTGATGCCCCTGTTACCTAGCAGTAAATAGGTACCCGGGAATTAGTCAGCTGTCACGGGCTGCTTCCTGGGGGTGGAGACTTGATCGAGGACCGGGCCGCAGGGACACTAAGCCACAAAATCATCTCAAGATAACCTCAAGACATGCATAACCCCCAGACGCGCGCCTTAACCCATGAACCACAAATCAATTTTCAATTTCTTTCTTTATTATGCCGATTTGCTAAAGATTATTGAATCTGGAATCGGCTCGAATCCACTTGGAGTCTGGAAACACAGAGCTGACAGCCAACCCAAGTTTAATACATAACCCGCATGCACTCTGATGTAGGTAAAGCTTCACCTGATGTAGGTAAAGCTTCACCTGATGTAGGTAAAGCTTCACCTGATGTAGGTAAAGCTTCACCTGATGTAGGTAAAGCTTCACCTGATGTAGGTAAAGCTTCACCTGATGTAGGTAAAGCTTCACCTGATGTAGGTAAAGCTTCACCTGATGTAGGTAAAGCTTCACCTGATGTAGGTAAAGCTTCACCTGATGTAGGTAAAGCTTCACCTGATGTAGGTAAAGCTTCACCAAAAGCGTCCATTAAATGCACAAGAAAATCACAATTCCCGTGGATTCCAGGTTAAATAATCTTTAGCATATTGTAGTCCATGGGCTTAGGCACTCGTCAAGGGGGTTACTAAGGACGCTGGTTCGAGTCCCGTCAACGATTTTTCTTATAATGAGCCGGTGGTGGGGAAGGTGGTGGGGAAGGTGGTGGGGGGGGGGGGGGGCGTTGGTGTGGGTGACAGAGACGTCTGGCGCCGTGTACACTTTCCCTGCTTTTCCCTCTACACACTAGAGCCTCTTTACACCTGCTTGCTTTACACGTGGAGGCAGGGTAGAGACGATGGCCGGGTGAAAGTTTCATTCACCATTGTATTCACCTATTTGTGCTGGCGGGGGTTGAGCTCTGGCTCTTTCGGCCCGCCTCTCAACTGTCAATCAATCATTTTTTTCAACATGCACACACACCTAGGAAGCAGCCCGTAGCAGCTGTCTAACTCCCAGGTACCTATTTACTGCTAGGTGAACAGGGCATCAGGACGAAAGAAACTCTGCCCATTTGTTTCCGCCATCGTCGCCGATCGATACCCGGTCGCTAGGACTACGAATCCCGAGCGCTGTCCACTCAGCCACCAGGCTCAGTCTGAGGGGCCTGGTGGTTCGTGTGTGTGTAATTACCTAAGTGTAATTGCCTAAGTGTAGTTAGTTACAGGTGGAGAGCTACGCTCGTGGTGTCCCGTCTTCCCAGCACTCTTTGTCGTATAACGCTTTGAAACTACTGACGGTCTTGGCCTCCACCACCTTCTCACTTATCTTGTTCCAACCGTCTACCACTGTTTGCAAAAGAACACTTTCTAATATTATTTCGGCACCTTTCTTTCCTTAGCTCGAATCTTTTTTGAATTATTCTCTCTTTTTTTATGTTCACTGTGCATGGTTGATTTGTAATATAATTGATTTGTAATATAATTGATTTGTAATATAAAATTATATTACAAATGAACCATGTCGAGTTTGACCAAACAGTGATGCTAACTACTAGCCAACCTCACTAAGATAACCTCCCTCGTCAAGTTATCACTAAGATGATCTCCTTGACTGGTGAAGTGAGACCGACTTAACCACTCCCACTTCCTCGTTTCAAGAATTTGTGGCCCGATATAAATACCAATGATGGCGCTCTTGTTATTATGACGCACTGCCGACTCCTTACAAATTAATGGCCACAATTTTTCGTTCAAGTAATTAGTTTTTGTTTTCTTTCCCACCAGATGTGTTGTGTGGGAATTTAGTTATTCTCTATAAGTGCAGGACCGCACTCCAGATAAATACAAGTTCCTGACCTGTAACTGGGAGACATTACATACATATACATATGCACACACACACACACACACACACACACACACACACACACACACACGCACGCACGCACGCACGCACGCACGCACGCACGCACGCACACACACACACACACACACAACTCAACAAGAGGTTCCAGGAGGTCTTCACAATAGAACAAGGTGAGGTCACTGTGCTAGGAGAAAGGGAGGTAAACCAGGCGGCCTTGGAAGAGTTCGAAATTACGAGAGAGGAGGTAAAGAGACACCTGCTGGATCTGGATGTTAGAAAGGCTGTTGGTCCAGACGGGATCTCACCATGGATACTGAAAGAGTGTGCAGAGGCACTTTGCTTGCCACTCTCCATAATGTATAGTAAGTCACTGGAGACGGGAGACCTACCAGAAATATGGAAGACGGCGAATGTGGTCCCAATATACAAGAAGGGCGACAGGCAAGAGGCACTGAACTACAGGCCAGTGTCCTTGACTTGTATACCATGCAAGGTGATGGAGAAGATCGTGAGAAAAAATCTGGTAACACATCTGGAGAGAAGGGACTTCGTGACAAATCGCCAACATGGGTTCAGGGAGGGTAAATCTTGCCTTACAGGCTTAATAGAATTCTACGATCAGGTGACAAAGATTAAGCAAGAAAGAGAGGGCTGGGCGGACTGCATTTTCTTGGATTGTCGGAAAGTCTTTGACACAGTACCGCATAAGAGGCTGGTACATAAGCTGGAGAGACAGGCAGGTGTAGCTGGTAAGGTGCTCCAGTGGATAAGGGAGTACCTAAGCAATAGGAAGCAGAGAGTTACGGTGAGGGGTGAGACCTCCGATTGGTGTGAAGTCACCAGTGGAGTCCCACAGGGCTCTGTACTCGGTCCTATCTTGTTTCTGATATATGTAAATGATCTCCCGGAGGGTATCGATTCATTTCTCTCAATGTTTGCGGACGATGCTAAAATTATGAGAAGGATTAAAACAGAAGAGGACTGTTTAAAGCTTCAAGAAGACCTAGACAAGCTGAAGGAATGGTCGAACAAATGGTTGTTAGAGTTTAACCCAACCAAATGTAATGTAATGAAGATAGGTGTAGGGAGCAGGAGG